TAAAGATGATTCCAGACATAAAAGTAGGCATTATATATTCTAATTCATTCAATCACTTGGACCTAAAAAAATTCTATTTTGTTTCAGTAACTAAGCTGGATAAAAGGGTGAGACTTGTTCCTTATGAAACCTGATACTGCCAGGTTTTCAGTTTCACAGATGCCTTCTTTACAGACATAAAGTTGTGTTTCCAAGTTGTCTCCTCAGGGTCTTCAGAGCCGTTTTTTTAATTCATCTTACCAAAACTCTTCATGCTAACGTCTACCTTCATTCACTTAATAACAGTTACCCAGGTCCTGCTATGTGCCTGACACTTCCCAGGTCATGGTCCCAAAAGCACTTCCCTCAGCTTTCTGTCTCCTCTTTGATTAAAGACAATCAGAATGCCTCTAGAACTTTGTTGTTAGAATTCTTCCCAGCAAATGAACATAAATATACCTAAGCATGTTCACTGCAACACTGTTTAAATAGCAAAATGTTGAAAAGAATCTAAATCTTCTAAAACAGGTAATTAATACAATGGAATATGTCTTGTATCCACAGTTATTGACCCAAGAATACATTCACTTTGTATTAATGAGTGAGTAAAAGATTTATTTTACAGACAGACCAGTAACTACAGCATAATCACTTTTATAGAAGTCTATATTACTTATAAAATTAGAGATGCATTTTTTAGTTAGAAGAATACACACCAAAATAGGTGATAGAATTGTGATTGGTTTTCCTCCATTTTTGCTTATCTGTATTTTCTAATGTTGTTCTAAGCAATTACATATTTTTTTTTCATAATTTTCTCTGATTAAGAGAAACAACCCCATTGCCATGTCAGTCACTGCAAACCTTACTAAAGTATGAGAAAGCCTCTCCTTAAAACCAAGTGCATTAAATCAAGGAGACAGAAACAGAGGTCTCAATAATCTGCATCAGGAGAATCCCAAATGTTACGGCACAGAACTACTGGAATTGGTGTGCAGAGAGGATGCAGGCAGAAATACGATAAGAAAAGAGACAATTCACAAGCAAAGCAAATTAAAGAGGCTCAGGTCCCAGGTACACCAGTGGGCAGGGATGAGATATAAAGCAGAAAAGAGAGGAATGAGGGTAAGGTGAAGTTTCTGTAAGAGCAGTTGCTCTGCCTCTTCTCTTCCCACTCTCAGGACATAAGACTCTGTATAGTACAAGTCAAGGCTCAGGGATGAAACCACAGAAATTAACTGAAAGTATACACAGAAAATGATTTCACTCCAAATCTCTCTCCTCCACTCCTTAGAACATGTCCGATCAAATGGTTATCTTTAGCTGGGCGTGGTGTCTCACACCTCTAATCCTAGTGCTTTGGAAGGCTGAGGCAGGTGGATCAGGAATTCGAGACTACCCTTGTCAATATGGTGAAACCCCGTCTCTACTAAAAATACAAAAATTAGCCAAGCATGGTGGCAGTCACCTGTAATCCCAGCTGACTAGGAGGCTGAGGCCAAAGAATCACTTGAGCCCAGGAGGAAGACGTTACAATGACCTGAGATCACACCACTGCACTCCAGCACTCCAGCCTGGGCAACAAAACAAGACTCCAAACACTTTGTCTTTTAAAAAAAAAAAAAAAAAAAAAAAAAGGTAGGGGCTATCTCCCGAGTCAGGATATCAGAAGACTCTTCTCTGAAGTACCAATGGAAGGAATTCCTCTTGCTGACATCAGGGGAATCTCCCATCAAATGAGTCTCCTGGGACAATGATGTAGAAGAATACCCATCATTCAACAAGCTTTACGAGCCTGCATGAACTTCCAATTTGCTTTTTAGCACCTCATTCTTAATATGAAATGGCAACCTAGGATCACCAGACTTATGAGAAATCTCCTAAAATGAAAGAGTAGTACCTAAAACAAATGAAGCGAAAGCAACTCAGAAGAAATTTAAATGATGCATGGGGCAGACACAATTTTTTTAATGCTGATTAATACCCTCAAAGAGACTTCATAAAGCAGAAAGGCAGGGCAAGATGGCAGAATAGAAGGCTTCATCAATTGTCCCACCACCCCCACAAGGACACCAATTTGACAACTATCTACACAGAAAAAAATACCTGAATTAGAACCAAAAATCAGGTGAGCACTCATAGTACCTGGTTTTAACTTCATATCACTGAAAGAGGCACTGAAGAGGTAGAAAAACTAGTCCTGAATCACAGACGCCACCCCTCCCCCAACCCAGGCATCAGCTGGGTAGCCCAGAGAGCATTCTGAGCACTGCTGGAGGGAGAGCACAGCAATTGTGAGGCACTAAACCCTGCTGTCCTATTAGAGAAGAAAAGAAAACCAGACCAAACGCAGCCAATGCCTGCCCACAGAGGGAGCATTTAAACCAGACCTAGACATTGCAGAATCGCCAATCCCAGCAGTCCAAACTTGAGTAAACTTGAAAGGCAGTCTAGGCCATGTGAACTGAAAATCTTAGGCAAGTTCAGGTGCTGAACTAGGCCCAGAAATGGTGGAATCAGGGGGCACATGACATACTAAGACACTAGCTGTGGCAGCCAAGGGAATGCTGAAATCACTCAGATATCTGTTTCTCCAGGATTGGTCTGCGGTACCTTATTTAGTTCCTTTGGTGAACTAAATAAGGTTTTCCTGGATGGTGTTGGGGCCAGTAGATGTTCTTCAGTGTCTAGGCAGTAAAGAGTTAGATATTTATTGTAGACTTCACTGTCTGGGCTTATTTGTACCCATCCTTTTTGTGAAGGCTCTTCAGATATTTGAAAAGACTTGGCTGTTTTGACCTATCCCCAGCTTTAGGTGGCTCAGAACAGAGAAAGAGAGACTATTTGTTTGGAAGAAAGTAAGTGAAAAGAACAAGAGTCTCTGCCTGGTAATCCAGAGATTTCTCCCGTATCTTGTCCAAGACCAAAAGAATACCTCTATGAGTCTATAAGAACTACAGCATTACTGGGCTTAGGGTGTCCCCTAAAGCAAATACAGCTTAGGTCAAAACAGCCAAGTCTTTTCAAATATCTGAAGAGCCTTCACAAAAAGGATGGGTACAAATAAGCCCAGACAGTGAAGTCTACAATAAATATCTAACTCTTTACTGCCTAGACACTGAAGAACATCTACTGGCCCCAACACCATCCAGGAAAACCTTATTTAGTTCACCAAAGGAACTAAATAAGATACCACAGACCAATCCTGGAGAAACAGACATCTGTGATCTTTCAGACAGAGAATTCAAAATAGCTGAATTAAGGAAACTCAAAGAAATTCAAGATAACATAGAGAAGGAATTTATAATTCTTTTTTTGGAAGGATTCATAATTCTATCAGATAAAATTTAACAAAGAGATTGAAATAATCAAAACACATCAAGCAGAAATTCTGGCACTGAAAAACTCCACTGGCATACCAAAGAACGTATCAGAGTCCTTCAATGGCAGAAGAGATACTTAGTGCACCTGAAGACAGGCTCTTTTTGAAAATATACAGTCAGAGGAGACAAAAGAAAAAAAGAATAAGAAACAATAAATCATGCCTAGGATCTAGAAAACAGCCTAGGATCTAGAAAATAGCCTCAAAAGGGCAAATCTAAAAGGTTTTGGCTTTAAAGAGGGGATAAAGAGATAGGAGTAGAAAGCTTATTGAAAGGGATATTAACAAAGAACTTCCCAAACCTAAAGAAAGACATCAATATCCAAGATGACAATTATACAATACAAAGGAGATTCAGACTACCGCAAGGCATTTAATAATCAAACTCCCAAAAGTCAAGAATAAAGAAAGAATCCTAAAAGCAGCAAAAGAAAAGAAACAAATAACATGCAATGGAGCTCCAATACATCTGTCAGCAGACTTTTGAGTAGAAACCTTACAGGCCAGGAGAGAGTGGCATGGCATATTTAAAGTACTGAAGGGAAAAAAATTTAACCTAGAAGAGTATAACCAGCAAAGATGTCATTCAAACATGAAGGAGAAATAAAGACTTTCCCAAACAAACAAAAGCTGAGGGATTTCCTCGACACCAGATCTGTCCTACAAGAAATGCCAAAGTGAGTTATTCAATCAGAAAGAAAAGGATGTTAATGAGCAAGAAGAAGCATCTGAAGGTACAAAACTCACTGGTAATAGTAAATACACAAAGAAAAAGCACAAAATATGATAACACTGTAGCTGTGGTATGTAAACTACTCTTATCCTATGTAGAAAGAATAAATTATAAACCAGCCAAAAATAATAACCACAACAACTTTTCAAGACATAGTACAATAAGTTATAAATAGAAACAACAAAAAGTTAAAAAGCAGGAGGATGAAGTTAAGGCATACAATTTTTATTGGTTTTCTTTTTGCTTATTTGTTTGTTTATGCAAATAGTGTTAAGTTGTTATCAGGTTAAAATAATGAATTATAAAATAGTATTTGCAAGCCTTATGGTAACCTCAAGCCAAAAAGCATCCAATGGATACAAAAAAAATTAAAAGCAAGAAACTAAATCATGTCAATATTGTTATAGCTAAGCAAGAACTTCATAATGCTATGTCATTTACATAACATTGAATGTAAATGGACTAAATTTTCCAATCAAAAGACATAGAGTGGATGAATGGATGAAAAAACAAGACCCATTGATCTGTTGCACACAAGAAACACACTTCAGCTATCAAGACACACATACACTAAAAATAAAAGGTTAGAAAAAGGTACTCCATGCCAACAGAAACCAAAAAAAGAGCAGGAGTAGCTATACTTATATCAGACAAAATAGATTTCAAGACAAAAACTATAAGACACAAATGGGCACAGTGACTGATGCCTGTAATCCCAGCACTTTGGGAGGCCAAGGCAGGTGGATCACAAGGTCAGGAGTTCGAGACCGGCCTGGCCAATATGGCGAAACCCCATCTCTACTAAAAATACAAAAATTAGCTGGGCATGGTGGTGGGCGCCTGTAGTCCCAGCTACTTAGGAGGCTGAGGCAGGAGAATTGCTTGAACCCAGGAGGCCAAAGTTTCAGTGAGCCAAGATCACACCACTGCAATCCAGCCTGGGAGACAGAATGAGACTCCATCTCAA